CCCCACGATTCTATGATTCTATGGTTGTTACTGATAATAACAAATACCTGAACAGGAATTTAATGAGGAAATTGATCCTACTACTTCTATTCCCATGCAAAGTGCTATGGTGGATCTTTGCTGACCATAAGTGATTTCGTCTCAGGTTATGTCTACATGATTCAGCGTTTAGTCACAAGGCTGTGTCAACACAGCCCTGTTGCTAAAGGTCAGTATGTGTGAATGCTGTTTGTTGGCACTTTTGTGAACAAAATACTTCCACCTCAAAACCTGTGGATGACAAAAGTTTTGTCAAGCAAGTGCACATGTAGACATAGCCTCAGTATCAAGTCTGCTTAAAAATTTCAGTATATTAGCTAGTACCACTCTGCTGGGGTATTCATTCTGTTCTGTGCTAAGAGACACTACCTCCCTTACCTTCACTAACTGGGGGTATGTCTACACTACAATGTTAGTTCGAACTAACGTCCGTTAGTTCGAACTAACATTCATAGCCGCTACACTAGCGCTCCGCTAGTTCGATTCAAATTCGAACTAGCGGAGCGCTAGTGTAGCGGCTATGAATGTTAGTTCGAACTAACGTCCGTTAGTTCGAACTAACATTCATAGCCGCTACACTAGCGCTCCGCTAGTTCGATTCAAATTCGAACTAGCGGAGCGCTAGTGTAGCGGCTATGAATGTTAGTTCGAACTAACGTCCGTTAGTTCGAACTAACATTCATAGCCGCTACACTAGCGCTCCGCTAGTTCGATTCAAATTCGAACTAGCGGAGCGCTAGTGTAGCGGCTATGAATGTTAGTTCGAACTAACGTCCGTTAGTTCGAACTAACATTCATAGCCGCTACACTAGCGCTCCGCTAGTTCGATTCAAATTCGAACTAGCGGAGCGCTAGTGTAGCGGCTATGAATGTTAGTTCGAACTAACGTCCGTTAGTTCGAACTAACATTCATAGCCGCTACACTAGCGCTCCGCTAGTTCGATTCAAATTCGAACTAGCGGAGCGCTAGTGTAGCGGCTATGAATGTTAGTTCGAACTAACGTCCGTTAGTTCGAACTAACATTCATAGCCGCTACACTAGCGCTCCGCTAGTTCGATTCAAATTCGAACTAGCGGAGCGCTAGTGTAGCGGCTATGAATGTTAGTTCGAACTAACGTCCGTTAGTTCGAACTAACATTCATAGCCGCTACACTAGCGCTCCGCTAGTTCGATTCAAATTCGAACTAGCGGAGCGCTAGTGTAGCGGCTATGAATGTTAGTTCGAACTAACGTCCGTTAGTTCGAACTAACATTCATAGCCGCTACACTAGCGCTCCGCTAGTTCGATTCAAATTCGAACTAGCGGAGCGCTAGTGTAGCGGCTATGAATGTTAGTTCGAACTAACGTCCGTTAGTTCGAACTAACATTCATAGCCGCTACACTAGCGCTCCGCTAGTTCGATTCAAATTCGAACTAGCGGAGCGCTAGTGTAGCGGCTATGAATGTTAGTTCGAACTAACGTCCGTTAGTTCGAACTAACATTCATAGCCGCTACACTAGCGCTCCGCTAGTTCGATTCAAATTCGAACTAGCGGAGCGCTAGTGTAGCGGCTATGAATGTTAGTTCGAACTAACGTCCGTTAGTTCGAACTAACATTCATAGCCGCTACACTAGCGCTCCGCTAGTTCGATTCAAATTCGAACTAGCGGAGCGCTAGTGTAGCGGCTATGAATGTTAGTTCGAACTAACGTCCGTTAGTTCGAACTAACATTCATAGCCGCTACACTAGCGCTCCGCTAGTTCGATTCAAATTCGAACTAGCGGAGCGCTAGTGTAGCGGCTATGAATGTTAGTTCGAACTAACGTCCGTTAGTTCGAACTAACATTGTAGTGTAGACATACCCTAGTTGGTTTTCAAGGGACTGTGTGCCAGAATTGCCTTTTTGAGAGAAGCTGTTGGCAAACACTGGCACACTTTCTTTCTAATTCCAGATATTTATGGACATCACCAGCTTTTAGCTGGTGATGGGCTTTAACCGAAACTCCCACGTGAACATTCAGACCCAAACTTTGCAAGTACTCTCCTGTCATCTGAAGAAGTGGGTTGTGTCCACAAAAGCTCATGATACCATCTACATGTTTTGTTAACCTTTAAGGTGCTACTAGACTATTTGTTGTTTTTTAAGTTTTTCCTGTTACAGATGAATTTGGTTACCCCTCTGAAGCTTTTGCAAGTAGGGTTCATCTTTAGTCTCAACTGCATTTTCAAATGGAACGTGTGACTCACTTCTACCCCACACTACATGTTCTATCACCATATAGTCCTGTGAAATATAGAAGATAAGTTATCAGAAAACTTTAGGCAAGATCAAAATGAATAGATCCCCCATATCGTTACAAATTAGAGGCTGCTCAGCACCTCAGAGAAGTTCTCTGTAGTTAGCAAGATCAAGTCCTACTTTAGTATCATATACTTCACTTGAGTTGTTTGTGATGTATTCAGAAGACAAACTTGTGTGTATATTAGGTCTTAGAGGGTGCAAGTGTGACTGCCACATGCATAGAGTCTGGAAATTCTTACCAATATGTTTTTTATAAGTCAGGACTATCATTGTTTCTAAAATTTGTTAGCTGTAAATGTTAAAAGCAGTGGTGCTAGATGGCCATAGGCATGTAACAAAACAGGCCACAAAAGATAATGATCTAGGCTTTTGAATTTTTAACATTGCTGCTAGCAGTGAGATTTTTATCAACATGCCAGAGACAGAAAATATTGCTTCAGTGCTTTCAGTGTGCTGCAGTTAGTACACCACATCTCAGTACAAACCATAGACTGTGTAGTTCATGATAAAAATCACAACTCAAGAGCAGTGTTCAATTTTTGTAATCTTTCTCCCGTTACTTGGGAACCAAACATCTGTTCTCTCCGTAAATCATAGCATTTTCATTGACTAACAGACTGCGTTATTTGTTTGTTCAATTTCTGGGGCTCCATTTTTACCTTGTAAATGATATTTGGCCTTGCAGAGTGACTTGGGCCTTTAATGCATATATAATCTGCCCTCGCACAAATATATGAAACTTCTGTGGAAATCAGTGGAAGATGCACACATTCAATTGAGAGCAGAACTTGACCCATTATGGACCCTAATGATCTATCCTCTTTAGATTAAGAAGTAGTACCATGCATGAGGAGGCCTATTTATTTTAATGGGCTCTTAGGGTTACATCTACATTGCATGCTTATTTCGAAATATGCTATTCCAGAATAGTTATTCTAAAAAAAGCTTATTTCGAAATAGTAGGTCCATACTACAGGGAAGCCTCAAAATTAGTCCAAGGCAGGCTTCTCTAATGTAGACGTGCTATCTGGGGAGGAATAACTTAGAATGGCTCTGGTGAGGAGCTATTTCAAAATAGTAGCAGTGGAACATCTACACCTGCCTTATTTCGAAATAGCTATTTTGGAATAGGCGTTATTCCTCGTAGAATGAGATTTACAGGTTTCAGAATAAGCCGTCTGTTATTTCAAAATTATTTGGAAATAACAGAATGGCTGTGTAGATGCTCACATTGTTATTTTGAAATAATGCTAGTTATCTCGAAATAACGATGCAGTGTAGACACACCCCAAATTGGTGTGTAAGGTACTACTCACTGTGAACAAGAGCATCAGGATGAGAACCATAGTACATACATAATTGGCTATTTTGAAATGTTAGATAAATCAAAGGACTATTGGTCTCAGTTCTTCCCTGTGCCTGAGCTGGGTTCAGCACAGCAGAGTTGAGAGCAATGAAGAGCTCCCTGATTTGGCGCTGCCTCACCTGCTGTTAGAGCAGCAGAAGAGAAATAGGTGTGGTAGTGCTCTCCTCCACCATGACCCCCCTCTTGGAATTCCACCTGCCTTCCTGACACATTTCCTATGCTGGCTGTTCAAACTTCACCACGGAAAGTCTGCACTGGAAGGTTACACCAAGGATCTAGTCACTTAGCATCACTCAAGCATTTCAAAATGACCAGAGAATAAGGGGAATCTGCCTCATTGCCCGTAACTCCAGCACTGCTACAACCTTTGCATATTGAGATAGCATATCCTGTCTGCTCTATATAGACCTATGTTTTCCTTTGAATATTTTAGAGCTACATTCTTCCTCGTCTTGCACCGATGCTTTCTAGCATATCTATTTGGAAATTGGGCAGGATGTTGCTACTCATTATCTGAGCACAGAGACAGCATAGCTAGAGTGCTGCTTCCTCCCAGACAGTTAAATAGATCCCCACATCCCCTAAGAGGGAGCACATGCTGCGCTTTCTGTTGTCAGTGTGAGAATCACTGCTCCTTATACTCCTCTTTGTATCATTCAACTATATCTGCTCTGCACACTCAGAGTGCATCTACTCAGCACCGTAACTCAAAATAAGACACACAGTTTGAGCTACATAAATTGTGTATCTTATTTCAATTATATTTTGAAATAAAGTGCTATTCCAAAACATCCCTTACTCCTCAAAAAATGACGTTTACAGGGACGTTGGATTAGAGAGCCTGAAATAATGGGCTGCTTCAATAGACGTGGAATAGCTATTTCAGAAAACTTCCGGTTTCCCAAAATAGCACTGCAGTGTAGACAGATCCTCAGAGCCCAGCTGCATGGGCACATTCTCCTGAATTTGTCCTGCACACTCAGAACCCTGCAGTTTGGGCACTGAACACCACAGTGAACCATAGACAGAGCTTAGGCCTTGCCTCTCTTCTCCAGTGAGGATACCACAGAACTTTAAGTTTTTGTGTATTTGGCCATGTTTGTAGGGAAGATCACTGACAATACCAGACTCTTCTGAACTGGTTGTGTGCCTTTTGGGAATCCACCTCTATAAAGGCTGGAACAATCCATGTTTTGCTCTCAGAATCAGAGTTGCCAGACCCACGTGACAATGGTCTTCAACTGTTTTCTCCCAGTTTCTTCTGGAACCTGGTACTATAGCTGCTTACATGGTGTTCATTTTTCTTCTAGTTCCAACAATATGCCTAAGCAGGTAGAGGTGCGGATGCATGAAAGCCACCTGAGCCCTGTGGAGACAAGACGCAAGAATATATGCCTGCGGTTCTGTCAATCACTCAGAAAAAACCTGCTCCTGTCTCTTACTGTATTTGGTAAGATATATCCCACTTGTATGCATTGTATGCATCCTATGTTTCTTTTGATTTGTCTATCTAATACCACAGGCAGTGATTGTGTTCTGTAAGGGCAAACTTTTAGGCAATCTTAACTGAGCAGTCAAGGAGTGAATAGGCCATGGAGACTGAATTTTCCCTTCCCCTCAGTAAGCCTGGAAAAGTCACATGGATGGAGTAGCACGAAGGAATCCTGCAGGGTTGATGTACATGTTGCATGTCTTTTGTGGAAGTAATAGGATTTAAGTGTCATTTCTCACCACCACTGAAGGAAACTGAGATTTTCTTTTTTATTCAGTCGCTTTAAAAATATAAAAACAACCCATTTATCCGATCCCTTACACTTTCCATCTCTCAGCCTGTCTGAGGGTGAGTCTACACAGCAGGGCTTAGCCCAATTTGTGTAGTTTATTTTGGTTAAGTCAATTGCATATTTTATTTCAAAATTGGGAGCATCTACACAGCACTTATTTCGAAATAGGGCACTCTTCCTCTGACTTCCCTTACTCCTTGTACAATGATGGTTATAGGAGTCAGAGTAAGAAGATCTCCAACTTGACAGTATTTTGACACTATTTTGAATGAACTGCCTGCTGTGTGGTCTCAGACTAAGTTATTTTGGAATAGAGCGAGTTATTTTAAAATAGTGTTGCGGTGTAGATGTACACAGATGCAAGCTTTATCTCCTATGTCTCTCTTGCTGCAGATACTGGACTCAGTGACCCAGTGTGTTGAAATAGTGTTTTCTTGTTTTGACACCTTTCATATCTGGATCAGTTAGAACCATCTCTTTGTGATTCACTGGCCCTGTATATACTCCCTTTTTTCAAATGCATTGAATTCACAGACCCACTCCATTTTTCATACCTTGAATGACCAGCTGCAGTTTTAGTATAAAAGTAGTACAGTTTTCAACTGTTACAAACTGAAACTGTCTGGACAAGAAGTTTGGGTTTGGACTAGTTCCTCAAAGTTGCCTGATCCCCTTTCCCAAGATCCTTTCCCAGGATCATGATTATACAAATAAGTTTCTCTCTCAAACAACCCGTTATCATTATAGAACCATAAGTTATTCCAATGATAGTTTCAAAACAATTCAGGATTTCTTATGTTGTCTTATTACAGTGCAGATTGTGCACTGGGGCTAAGGTGAAAACATACAGTCACAGTGCAAAAAGAAACACAAGTATTTTAAAGATGTACTTAGATTTCAAGCTACTTTGGGCAGGGACTGTCTTTCTGTTCTCTGCTTACATAGCACTGGAACAATGGGATGCTGGTCCAAACCCAGGGCTCCAAGATACTACTGCAATATGAATAAATAATTGTAGTAATTAATGAAAGGAATTGTTTAGGATGATCTATGGTAGAGTGATAAAAGGGGATAGAATTCAGCAATGAAAAGTTTAGTCTGAATATTGAAAAAAGTTATTTAACAGTAATATGTGCAGGATTATGAAATAGTCTCTTAAGGGTAGACCCATTGCCTTAGCAATATGAGATTGGAATAGATGAAAAGATGTTATGTGTTTTACTCTGCTTCAGGGAGCAATCCTAAAAGTTCAATCGAATAGATCTTTTCTGCTCTCTTGCGCTACTGCAAACTGGATCCTAATAGCAATTCATTCAGATAGCTCAATCTTATTATTACATGCATTGGTAATGAGAGGCTGAACGTATATTCTTCACAAAGTCTTGACAGCTTTCCCATCAGATCTCTGCCTGAGCTGTGATATTGTTTGCTAATTCTTCTCTAGGAAGAGAGCTTAAAGCAAATATATATGTGCTTGCTAAGACAAACTAATTGTGGTTTTGAAATGGTGCTGTTCTGGTGGTGAAAGCATAGCACTGGTACTCAGGACTGATGAGTTGTTTTGCTGGTTCTTCTACTGACTGCTTATATGGCCTTGAGCAGTTGACTTCACCTTGCGGTGCATCAGTTCAGCCATCTGCACAGTGATTATATTAATTATAATAACCTTCCTCTCAGGGCATTTTAAGGCTTAATTAATATTTGCAAAAATCTGTGGGTTTATCCGATGAAAGATAGCACTGAATGTAGTAGGATCATTCTGAAACCATTTTCCTTGAAGATTGTTCTTCTGTGTGGTGAATAAAGATACAAGTTTCCATTCTGCGCCACACTCGTAAGGCCTCAAATCGAGTATTGTGTCCATTTCTGGACACCATGGTTCAGGAAAGATGTGGAAAAACTAGGCAAAGTCCAGAAGTGAATAACCAAAATGATTAAAGGTCTAAAAAATATGACCTAAGAGGAAAAATTGAAAAAATCTGGGTTTGTTTAGTACGGAGAAGTCTGGGGCGAGTGATGATAACAGTTTTCAAGTACATAAAATAGGGTTACAAGGAGGAGGGTGACAGGGCCACCTCTGAGGGAAGAGAGGCAAAAGTAGCAGGGCCCAGGGATACGAAAGGATCTAAGGCTCCAGATCACTGCCACTGCTGCCTTTAAATCACTGCCGGCACCATGGGCAGCACTGAGGGCTGGCTGGGGGAGGTGTAGCATGGTTCAAGCAGTGCTGGCTGCCCCAGCTCCTCCGTTCTGCCTGAGGCCCTGTCCTTTCTGGGGAGGGCTTAGAGCTGAGCCCTATCTACATTGCCCAGGGCCTGTCAAAGTCTATCACCAGCCCTGAGGGTGAAAGATGATTCTTGTTAAGCTCTGAGAATAAGCTAAGAAGCAAGGGGCTGAAACTGCATTTCCAAGTTTAAATCACTGCCACAGCACTGCTTTAATGCAGCAGTGTGGTCATGGCACAGGGTTCCTCCAGCTCTCTAGCTGAACAACCTCTATGAGGGGAGTAGCGAACAGCGCTGGGAGTGCAGCCATTGGGATCCTGTTTACACTGGCATTTGGGGTGTCCATGTTTTTTCACACTCCTGACTGAGAAACTTGCCAGTGTAGAGAATACCTTAATGTCAGGGTAGTTAAGTACTGGAATAAATTGCCTAAGGAGGTTATGGAATTTCTGTTACAGGAAGTTTTTAAGAACAGTTAGACATACACCTGTCATGAACGGACTAGTTATTATGTTGTCCTGCCTTGAGCGTAGGGGAGAAGACTAGACAACCTGTTGAGGTCCCTGTCAGTCCTATACTTCTATGATTCTATGATTCCTTTCCCCACCCTTCCTTTTTAATTCTCCTTTCAGGTGTCATCATGGGTGCAGTATGTGGCGGCCTTCTTCGCCTGGCAACTCCCATTGATCCTGACATAATCATGTTAATAGCCTTCCCAGGAGATATCCTTATGAGGATGTTAAAAATGTTGATCTTACCTTTAATTATATCCAGTTTAATCACAGGTAAGCTATTAGCAATCAAGGTTTTAAAATGCTAGCTAAATACACTGCATGGCTTCTCCTTTTGTGAAAAAGGAAGAATAGTGGTGTGATACAGTGAGTTTTTTGCAACTAATAATAGCTCATTTATATTTCATGGGCCAAACCCATGTCTGGTATAAATTCACTGATTTCAGTAGTTGATGCTGCTAGCCAATTTTGGTCCAAACAAATATGTGCAGCTCTCTTGAATGCCACCATTTCCCTTTTATACTATCTCACCCACATCCTCAAGTGGGATTTGTACGAATGGCAGCACAGGTCGGAAAAGCATGGATCGCTCAAAGCTGTATGTCATCCTTGAAATGATCAGCTTCCAGGAAATAAAGGATAAAAGGGGATCACTTTGTCCTAATGAACATAATTTCTTCACAACACCCATCAATCCCTTAAGGATCCAACTGAATACTGTCTTAGCTATTTCTCCACAGATAAAAGGAGTTTTAAACGCACCTCTCTGCCGGCAGAGGGATGCAGATTAGGCAGGTTGAAACTGCTAATGATGTGGGGATTTACATATTCCGCGCTTGATTAGCAAAAAAATGGCCGCCGCTTTTTTTCGGCACGGAGCTTTGCTGGAAAAAAGCACCATTCTAGACGCGGATCTTTCGGAAAATACAGCCTTTTCCAAAAGATCCCTTATTCCTCTTAAAATAAGGGATAAGGAATCTTTCGAAAAAGGCTTTATTTTCCGAAAGATCCTCATCTAGACTGGCGCTTTTACCGGCAAAGCTCCGTGACAAAAAAAAGCGGCAGCCATTTTTATGCTAATGAAGCCTTCATTAGCAATTGCGATACGTCTAATTTGCATCCCTTTTCCGAAAAAGGGATGCAATCTAGACGTAGCTGTGTTGTTCAGATGGGAGAAAATTTGGAGGTTCTTTAGGGCACCATCTATATTGTGTAGCATTCCTAAGGGAGGAAAAACCTCTAAAGATAGTCACTAAAGATTTAAATAACTATAGGCAGAGTCTCCAGATAGTTTGTGATAATTTGATGAATTGTATAATAACTAGTCCCACTGCATTTTTTTAAACACAGGATTGTCAGGTTTGGATGCTAAAGCTAGTGGTCGATTGGGCACAAGAGCCATGGTCTACTACATGTCTACTACTATCATTGCTGCTGTGCTAGGGGTGATTCTGGTTTTAGCCATTCATCCAGGAAATCCAAAACTCAAAAAGCAGCTGGGAGAAGGGAAGAAAAATGATGAAGTATCCAGTTTGGATGCTTTCTTGGATCTCATCCGAAACCTGTTCCCTGAAAATCTAGTCCAAGCATGCTTCCAACAGGTAAGTATTTTTAAATGTGAAGACCTTTTTACATTCCAAGATGTTCTATCTTTCACCTAGTGAGTGGCATTAAAATACTTGAGATGAATACCAAAGTACAGTGCTGGGCAGGTAAATCAAGAAAGAAAATAGTTTACAACTATTTCTTTTATTATGTAGTAACTTTGTTACTGATTTCAGTTCTTGAACATTTTATGTGACTTTTTTTTAAAAGACCATCTTTTTAAAAGTACTCTTTTTAAATAGCTTCATTCTTTATGTACAGTATTTAATGCTCTAGAAAGGTGCTGGCTGGTTGTTGGGCCATGAAACATTTGACCTCCAAACTGCTGGTTGAATTTGAATTTAGCCCAGGGGTTAGTGACTGATCTGATGGCTATCCAATGCCCTCTGTGAAGTGTATTTGTGGTTTCAGGTAAGTTACCAGTGTTCAGGTGTTCACATCCTCAAATCCACTGTCCCATATAACAAGTTCACTGTCTGGAGACTGAGATCTATATTGATAATAGAGCCCAAATGAGTTAACTGTCTATAGAGGGCTCCACCAGGTCACATGTAAGACATCTTGTGTCTACACTGCAGGGCTTAGTTCAAAATAAGCTATGCAAATTGAGCTACGTCAATTGCATATCTTATTTTCAAATAGTTTATTTCAAAATAGGGAGCGCCTACACAGCACTTACTTCGAAACAGAGCACTCTTCCTCCGACTTCCCTTATTCCTCATACAATGAGGGTTACAGGAGTCAGAGTAAGAAGTCCTCTAGCTTGACAGTATTTTGACACTATTTTGAAATAACTGCCTGCTGTGTAGACACGGACTAAGTTATTTCAAAATAGTGTTGCAGTGTAGGCGTACTACTTGTGGACCAATGGCCGGGAGAGGAAGAGAGTTACGCTGCTGTTGCCTATTCCTTACTTATCCTGTAGTTAAATACTTCAGCCCCTAATCACTTTTCACCAGCACAAAATTAACACATTGTGTTAGTAAGCGATAAAAGAAATGCTTACAAAGAACATATGCTTCCCACTTCCTCTGTCAGCAGCTTTCCTAAAATTAAATTGTTTGGCAATCAGGCAGCCTATTTTTATTGAGCCAAACAATATTTGTTGCCAAACCCATTCTTAGATGTTCCTAAATGGTACTACTTGAAATAGAATGTTAATTGGAGCTGTGGCTACAGGTGGGAGGATTGGGTGAGGAGTAAAGTGAGCACAAAAAGGGCAGATCTAAGCTGCCAAAAGTATTGCAAGAACTTTATTTCTTCCCCACACTCTCACATAAAAACAAAAAGTATTTGGTATTTAAAAGGAATATGTTCAGAATGTTCCCAAATTATCTTGGGGATAGAGGTCCTGTGGCCAGCCCATGACTGGCTAAAAGCCATAATGTTTTATAAGTGAAGTTCTGTTTCCCCCCCCTTCACTTCTACTTCTCCATAATAGAAAATGGATCTAATATCTATAGGTAGGGAACAAGTGGGGGAAAAAGTGAGGAAGAATTAAGCTGCTAATATCCAATACTTTTCTCAGATTCTGTATATGTCTTGTTTAGTGGCCATAGGCTACGTCTACGTTGCAGAGTTTTTGCACAAAAACCACCGTCCACACTACAAGCACGGAGCGTCCACACTATAAGCACGTTTTTGCTCAAGAAAAAGCACAGTAGATTGTCGTAAGACAGGGCTTTTTGTGCAAGAGTTATTCCTCTTTCTACGAGGAATAAGCCTTTCTGTGCAGAAGTTCTTGTGCAAAAAGGTGGGTGTGGACGGACAATACGTGTGTGTGGATGGAAAAAGCACAGGTGCTCTGATGGCCATTCATTGAATGGCCATCAGAGCTTTCTTGTGCAAGAGTGTCCCTGTCAGTGTGGACACTCTCTTGTGCAAAAGCACATGGCAGTGTGGATGTGCTCTTGCTCAAGAACTTTTTGTGGAAGATCTCTAATGCTAATGTACCACCTATGGCTCAGCTGACACTGTTTTAACTTTGCCCCACGTGGGTGTCATCCAAAGCCTACCAAACCCAATGGACAGACTCCTAATGACTTCAGTGGACTTTGGTTGGGGGGCCAAAAATGAGCTTTTTTATGTTAGTGTTCCCATATTTTATGTGAACAAATTCCAAACTAGCCTCCTTCAAAGTGTCTGCCATTAAGCCACATCTCTTTTACTATTCTGCTGTAACCACTGACATACGGGCTTCTGGAGTTGGTCTCCACCTGTCTTCCCTCTTGGTTACAATAGAGGTTGAGGTACTCTCTTCATCTCACCTGGTTTAGGTGGTGTCAAAGGCTGCTTTCCTGATTAGGAATAGCGTATTAAAACCCTTATTTCTCTATACACCAATGTTTAGTTTGTGAGTTTATGTCCCTCTAGAAAGTGTTTCACCATCTCACCTAAATGTGCGATCTAGAGTGACAACCATCATGTCCAGATGAGCATCTTGAAAGTAAAAAAAGCTTATCTGAACTTGCACTTTGAGGTCAGGACCTTATCACTAGTATTTATGGGTCTGATCCTGGGAAGTGCTGAGGACCTTCATGAACTCCAGGAGGAGTTGTGACTGCTTAGACTCAACCCCCACTGTTTATTTTTGTAGCTCTACACAGCTTTGACATAACGTCTATCTCACATAAAAATCAGGACAATAAAATTCCCAAGATAAAAAAAAAAAAAAAAAACAGCAGCAAAAGTTGGCTGGCTTCAGAACTGCTGAAGAGTTTCTCACACATTGTCAAAGTTCCTTTCTAGCCGAGTATTTTTATTTTCTAAATTTAGAAGAGAGGCACATTTTAAAACAGGGGTAAAATAAGATGTTACAGCTTGAATTGGGGCATCATCCACACTATATCCCATGTGAGCCATCCCAACAACCTGCAGATACAATTGTAATTGAATAAGATACAGTAATGGCTCTGTATCCTTAATACTTTAATTTCACGATACCTTGTCCAGCTGCTTTGTACCTAGATTTTTTCTGAGTGCTATCATTAATGAGATCCTGCTATCTGCACATATAGAAATAGCAGATGGTTTTTCAGGTATGAGTGGTAGAATCCTTTGGCTTATTCTCAGTGAAGCTGGCAACAAGAATGTGACAGTTTATACATTTCTTTTGCAGTCCAGCTCTCAGATTCATTCATTACCATGCTTGGAGGGTATCTGTGTATACCAGTTTTATTTCAGCTCCCACAGATAGGAACCTAGAACCAGCCTAAAAAAAGGAAACAGTCACAGAATGGGAGATGTGTTAGAAATATAAAAACATATTTTTGAACTAAACTGCCATGGTAGCTGAGATTGGAGATAAAAGTCTTTGTTGTGTAATGTTTGTTCAGAATTGCTGTTATCATCCACTCCAAAAATAGGGAGAGAATACGGTGAGTGAAGCACTTTCTTTCTGGATGGAAGGGCCTATATGTAAGATGTTATGTATTAACAATTAAGAGGGTGTTTATCATCTTCATTATACTGCTTTTTTGGAATTGGATCTCAGGACTTAATTTTCCATGGAATTATTATAACTAACTTATTTTTGGAAGCTTCTCAGGGGTTAGCCAAGTTAGTCTGTACATGATAAACTTTAAAAAACAACAAATACTCTGGTAGCACATTAAAGACTAACAAAACATGTAGATGGTTGGAAGAGGAGTTAGAGGGGATGGACTGCATAGTTTGATCCTCTAAAAATAACATTGCCTAGGATTATTTGGAATGGGGCAGAAATATTATTATTATTTTATTCCCTTATGTATTAAATCACATTCTGATTCCATTCTCATTCCATCTTGCAACTCCTTCAGATTCAAACTGTCACCAAGAAAGTCCTGGTACCCCCAGAAACCGAAGAACCACCTAACATCACTGACTCTGTCTTTGCTATGATGAATGAGACGATGACCGAAGAACCACCAGAAGCCCAGCTGGTCATTAAAAAGGGGCTTGAGTTTAAAGATGGAATGAATGTCCTAGGTAAAGAAACTAGTTTCCTGTTGAAACCTATATTGATAACATAGCAGCTCTTGCTTTTCAGTGACAGTCTGTGGATGGCCAGGTTGGACTGATTAGTTCTGGAGTCCAAATGTGGCCTGAGCAGTGCATTACCAAAAGTGGCAACCAGTTGCTAGCTACTTGCTGACACATGTGATACGAA